TCTTCTCAAGCTCTTCGTCCCTACCCTGTCCTTGTTTCCTCCCCTTATATCAAAGGAGTCATTTGGTATTTGTTTTTTAAAGATTGACTAGCTTCACTTAACATAATCTGCTCTAATGCCATCCATTTCCCTTATTTTTACCTACCCCTTCATTCTTGCTGTTTGTACATGTGATGCATTCAAAGTATCTGTTGGAAATGAGATGTCTAGAACTACAGAAAATAGACAATTCCCAAGATTGGCAGGGTGGGGAGGGGGAAGACTATTGCAGCAGTCCTCAGGGGAGATGATGGAAAGTGGTGAAAACTGTTCAGATTCTGGGTATATTTTAGATGAAGTCAGCAGGATTTACTGATGGAATGGATGTAGGCAATGGGAAAAAAAGAGGAATCAAGAATTGATAAAAAAAAAATAAGCCAGTCCCCCCAAAACCAAAGGTCATATGTTCTCTCTGATATGTGGATGCTCACCCACAACAAGTCAGGGTAGGTAGGGACAGGAAGAGTAGTAGTTTATTGGATTAGACAAAGGGGAATGAAGGGAAGGGAGGAGAGATGGGAACAGGAAAGACAGTAGAATGAATTGGACATAACTTTCCTATGTTCATATATGTATACATGACAACTCCACATCATTTATAACCACAAGAATGAGATCCTAATTAGAATAAATTATACTCCATGTATGTATAATATGTCAAAATATACTCTGCTGTCATGTATATCTAAAAACGATCAAAATTTTAAAAAAGAATCAACCAAAGCTTTTGGGTTGAGCAATTGGAAGGAGAAGCTGACATGAACTGAGATGGGAACAACTACAAGAAAAGCAGATTTGGGTGGGATGATGGAAGTAGGAGTTTCTATAATAACGAGACAGATGTCTATGAGATTTTGGGTTTTGTTGGAAAGGTTTATACCAGAAACATAAATTTGGTATTCATCAGTCTTAAAGGAGATTGGAGAGTGGAACTGGTAATGTAAGAGGTGAACAAGAGTATTTCAAGTGAGGAAAAGAAAGGTAACACAAAAAGGATGTTGTTAAATGCTGCTGCAAGGTTAAAGTAAGATTGAGAATTGACCTTTGGAATTGGTAAAATGGAATTCATTGGTGGACCTCAAAATAGCCATATAATAGTATGAGCTTAAAAAAAGAGTTGTGCCTAATAAAAAATAAATAAAATTAAATTTTAAAAAAAGTACTGTGCCACATTGATGATTAACATATCAAGATCTTACTGTGAAGCTGCTGTTGGACTAGATGTCTCTTATTCTATGTGAAGTTGATTTCTTTTTCTTCTGATGTGATATATAGCATTCTTATAATGTACTACTATTAAAAACCCTCACTGATACTTGTCCACATTGTCCCAGTTTAAGCCAGGGCAGTGAGCTCCTAGATGGGAGTGAGGGCTGCCTCTATCTATTCTAGCTAACATGTTGATATAAGTGTCATTGGTGTTACCTTTAGGCATTGAGTGAAAAAGCTATGCTCATAAATAGCAAGCTGCTAGAACAATCTTGGAAGACCTTTAGCAAAGAATAATGAAAGAAAATTACCCTTGACTGCTTAGTAATGCAGTATGGCAAACTGAGGAAAGACAACATAAGATATTAAGGAACATTTTGGAGCTTATAATTTTGTAGGAGTGAATACAGTTCCTGGTGGTGGGCAGGAATCTTGCTGGAGCTGCCCTTCTGGAGAAGCCTGAAAAGTTTGAGATGTAGAATCTTTAAAGTTGGATATTAGTCAACTTAGAGAAAGCCTTTTTAAAATAAACCATAGAAGGGATGCTTGTTATACACCATGTTAATTAGTCACAGCAGACAATCATCGTACATAGCTTAATATTTTAATGTAAAGAAGATTGTATCTCTATATATGTTTTTTTTCACCCATGAAATATACGTGTGTATGTGTATGTGTGTATGAGTACACACTCACATAATTTAATGGGTGAAGAAAAAGACTCAGGGAGTATGGATATCAAGAAAAGGAGAGGGCTGGGGTTGTAGCTCAGTGGTAGAGCACTTGCCTTGCATGCATGAGGCACTGGGTTCAATCCTCAGCACCACATAAATAAATAAAGGTATTGAAATCATCTACAACTAAAAAAAAAAAAAGAAGAAAAGAAAAAAGAAAAGGAGAAACGATGTGCACAATGATATGTACATTCTACTTTCATGTGTGACTAATTAGATCAAATAAAAAATAAAAACAAATAAATAAAAAAGAGAAGCAGAAATGATTGGATGAATAATGAATCCGTGATCACATATTGCCAGGGACTGGGACAGGGGGAGGTGTTTGACTACAAATGAGCCGCAAGAGAGAAAAAAGTTAATTTTACTCTGTGTAAATTTTTAAAAAATCACATGGATAGTGAGTGACAAAACAGAACCCAGTTTTGTAACTCTTATAGCACATTTTACTTTTCTTTTTTCTTTGTTGATTATCACTGATATTTGTCCACACTGTCCCAGTTTAAGATTGTCCTCTTTCTAGTTGTCAAAACATGTATCCAGGGCTGGGATTGTGGCTCATTGGCAGAGCGCTTGCCTTGGACATATGAGGCACAGGGTTCAATCCTTAGCACCACATATAAATAAATAAATAAATAAACAAACAAATAAATAAATAAATAGTATTGTGTCCATCTACAATTAAAAAAATTATTTTGTATCCAACCAGACACAGTGATGCAAACCTGTAATCCTGGCAGCTTGGGAGGCTCATGCAGGAGGATTGTGAGTTTAAACCCAGCCTTAGCAA